AAAAAAAAAAAAAAAAAAAACCAACGACGTCATGAGTTCGAAGCTGGACGTAATCAGAATGAAATACGACGGTCTGAAATACGATGGTCTTCCCGGAAAAAGAACGCCCGGTCATTATACTTGGCATCTGCACTGAAAGTTGGGCCTGAATACAGCTATAATGACCGGGGTTCTATTTGGGTGAAAAAAGGCGGTAGTGGTAGGGGTTGGCCCCCTTCGTCTTTTTTGGAAAGAAAGAGAAAGCAGCAGGGATGAGCTTGCAGCAGCTTGGAATGGTAGCAGAAGCAGAGCATAGTAGAGCTGCACACAGCAGCAGACATCAGCACGCGACAGAAAAAAAAAAACGATAGATAGCAGCAGCAGCAGCAGCAGCAGCAGCAGCAGAGTAAGAGAACATGAAGAGGAGGAGGAGGAGGAGGAGGAGGAGGAGGAGGAGGAGAAGGAGAAGGAGACCCAATGCATGGCAATTCTAAGCAGAGCATAGTAGAGCTGCACACAGCGGCAGACATCAGCAGGCGACATAAAAAAGAAATGATAGATAACAGCAGCAGCAGCAGCAGCAGCAGCAGCAGAGGAAGAGAACATGAAGAAGAGGAGGAGGAGGAGGAGCGGGAGGAGGAGGAGGAGGAGAAGGAGAAGAAGACCCAATGCATGGCAATTCTAAATAGTAAATAGTAAATACTAAATTAAATAGTCTCTCCTCAACCTCGATCTCTCCACCTCCTGTACGCCGCCAACAGTCAATTTCAAAATCCAAACACTGTTGCTGCTGTTTTGCTGTACGTCAGTCGTGTAACTTGTTTCATTTTTTTAACCCTGTTCCTCTGCAATCGAACTTGGTTGGGTCTCTAATACTCTCTATGTTGACAACAACAGTTCATGGGTGTGTACCAACTGAGAGGTAGACCCACTCGTCGGGAGGGTTCTCACTCAACTGTCACTGATTTTTTCCCAATATTTTATTTCAGAGTTCGAAACTTTAAACTCAGAGGGGGGGAAAAAAAAGAAGGAAATTTTGAACTGAAGGAGTTGTTGGGAATGGGCTGTGAATTCGGAGGTGTGCAGGGCAAGACACCACTTTCTGAGGGGTGGGATGACCTGCGGATCGGGGGCATTTATATTGAAGACGATCTCCAGATCAGCGGTATTTCTATCGAAGACAGCGGGGGCGATACAGCAATAGGGGTGTGCCCCATACCTCAGAGGTTGTTCGGGCATCATCATCATCGTCATCATAATCTTGATCATCCTAGCAGCTCGCAAGCCCACGAGGTTTTCCCCTCGGGTGAGGATTGGGACACAGAGCGACTGCTCGAGTATCTGACGAACAAGGAGAAGGAGCGTCACGTGCTGGAGGACGAGCTAAAGCAGAAGGAGGAGGAGCGTAGGCGGTTGGCCGAGCAGTTGGAGCAGTGGCAACGAGAACGGGATAATCTGGTACGGGAGCTGAGGGATAGGAACCGCGAAAGAGTGGTGATTTCTGACACAGTCAGGGAGAAGGAGAGGGAAATGAGGGCTCTTGAGGAGGAGTTGACGAAGGTGCGGCAAGCGAAAACGACGATGGAAGAGGAAGCGAGAGGACAAGAAGAGCAGATGGCAGAGCTGCTGCAGGCGAAGAGGGAGGAGATTGACGTTCTGTCGATAAAGCTGGCGGCCAAGGAAAGAGAAGGACAGGCCATGGCCCAAGAACTGAAAGGCAAAGAACAAGAAGACCAGGCTTTGGCAGAGAAGCTGCGGAGGAGCGAGAGGGAGAGGGAGGAGTTGGTGGACAAGATGAAACAGAAGGACGAGGAATACAAGGACTTGGTCGCCGTGTTAAGGCAGACGCAGATGGAAAAAGCCGAGCTCAGACGCAAGCTTAGTCGGGAGGAGTGTGAAAAGGACTCCGCACTGATACAAATGGTGCACAAGACCATGGACGTGGATACGCTTATGACGCAGGTCGTTGATGCCGAAAGGCAAAAGGACTTCTTGGCGCGCGAGCTGCTCCGACGAATAAGGGAGGCAGAATCCCTCAAATCCAGGGTGGATGAGATGGAGAGAGCGAGGTCCTCCCTCCAGACTCATGTCGAGGAGCGGGAGAACGAGGTGAGTCGGCTCCGCTGTGAACTCCGGGCTTGCGATGAGAGATGGGAGGGCGTGCACAAAGATTTGCAGCAGCGCGATGAGAAGATCGCCGCACTGCTGGAGAAAGTGGATGATCTGGAGCTGAAGATGAAGTGTCGGCACGAGGAGCACGGCGCATTATGGCAGAAAAAGATGGATGCCAACCGTCTTCAATGGGAAAGCGAGGTGGCTTCACTGCAGGCCAAACTGGATTGGGAGCGAAAGGGGAAAAAAAAACAAGGGTTACACGAAGAAGAGGACGCTGACTCTGCTGCCGCAGCAGAGAGCTTGCAACAGAGGGCGGCGAGCAGGAATATGCATTGTGAGCTGCAGAAGTGGGATGCTGTTGTTTCTTCCCTGGAGACGCGACTGCAGGCGGTTGAGCACGGTGCAATCTCCTCGGAGATGGACCGGAGGGTAAGTCAGTTGGATGTGGTGGTCGACGAGTTGGCAAATTGGCTGAGAGAAAGCTGCGAGGCAGCAACAGACATGGAGAGGCGGTTGAAGGCGTTCGAAGACGGCGGAGCGGAGACTCTATCAAGCCAGATGAAAGAGAGCCTGAAGGAGGTCGAAGCTATCCATCTCCGGCTGAGCGAGGAGGAGGAAGCAAAGGGTTCTGTCCAGCTCAACCTTCAGGAAAAACTGGCCCACAGCCTCGCAGAGGTTGAGAATTTACGCCACAGATTGATCGAGGAGGGTCAAGCAAAGGCCTCCCTCCAGCTGGAACTTCAAAAGAAGCTGGGACAGAGTCTAGCAGAGGTCGAGGCTCTGCGTCTCCGGCTGAGCGCCGAGGGGCATGCGCAGTCTTCCCTGCAGGTGAACCTCCAGGAAGAACTGTCACGAAGTCTCACAGAGGTCCGTGCCCTGCGTCTCAGACTGAGCGAGGAGGAGCACGCAAAGGCCTCCCTCCATCTGGACCTCCAGGAGAAACTGAGGCGGAGTCTCGGAGAGGTGGAAGCTCTGCGTCTCGGCATGACAGAGGGGGAGCGAGTGACAACTTCGCTCCATATCGAACTTCAGGAGGGGCTCGCGCAGAGCCTCGCTGAAGTCGAAGCTATGCAACTCAGGCTGAACGAGGAGGAGCAAGCAAAAGCCGCTGTCCAGATGACGCTTCAAGAGAAACTAAGAGACAGCCTGGCAGAGGTTGAGGCCTCACAACTCAAGCTGAATCAGGAGGAACAAGCGAAGGCGACCCTTCAGCTCGATTTGCAGGAGAAGCTGTCCCAGAGTCTTGCAGATGTGAAGTCCCTGAGGCTCAGGCTGACGGAGGAGGAGCACGCCAAGGCGTCTCTCCAGATCGATCTTCAGGAGAAGCTTTCTCAGAGCCTCATGCAGGTTGAGGATTTGCGGGTTCAGCTGAGCGAGAAGGAGAAGGCAAAGGCACTCATCCGGAATGACCTTCAGTGCAAGCTGACACAGTGCCTGATGCAGATAGACGTCCTGCAGCTCAGGCTGAGCAAGGCGGAGGCAGCAAAGGAATCTCTTCGGACGCAGCTTCGGCACAAGCTGGAACTGAGTCACATGGAAGTGGAATCGCTGCGGCAACGGCTGAGCGAGGAGGAACAGCTGAAGGCGTCGCTGAAAATAGACCTCACGGAGAAGCAGAGGGCTCTCACAGAAGTCGTCGAAGTGCTCGGAAGGCTGAGCGAAGACGAGCAAGCCAACTTGTCTCTGCAGCTCGACCTTGAGAAGGAGAAACAAAGGCGTGTCGAGGAAACTGAGGCATTGCAGCTCAGGCTCCGTGAGGAGCAGCGGGCGAACGCGTCCCTGCAGGTCGAGCTTCGAGAAAAACTGTCTCAACATCTTGGCGAACTCGAGGCTCTGCAACTCAGGCTAAGGGAGGCGGAGCAAGCCAACGACCTGCTGCACGTCAAACTCGACGAGGAGAAGCAGGAGTCTGTCAGGGAGATAGAAGCTCTGCGGCTCAGGCTCGGCGCAGAGAAAGAGGCCAAGGAACGTCTTCTTCAGGCTGATCTCGAGGAGAAGCTAGCACAGAGTCTGGCTGAGGCGCAGTCCTTGCAGCTCCAGTTGACGGATGTGAAGCAGGCCAAGGCGTCTATGCAGCTTGACCTTGAAGAGGCGCTATTGAAGGAAATCAAACTTGAGGAGGAAAGGCACGAGGCTCTGACGGAGATAGAGACTCTGAAAATCAGGCTGGACAAGGAGAAACAGGCGAAGGAGTCTATCCAGGCCGATCTTGACGACAAGTTAGCACAGAGTCTCGCGGAGGTGCATTCTCTGCGACTGAGGTTGACGGCGGAGGAGCAGGCCAATGTGTCTCTCCAGCTTAATATGAAGGTGCAGAGAGAGAAGAGTCTGAACGAAGTCACGGCTCTGCAATGCAGTCTGACCAGGCAACAGCAGCTAGTTGCATCCCTGCAAACTGAGCTTCAGGAGAAGGCCACATGGAGCCTCACAGAAATAGATGCTCTTCAATTGAGATTGGGGGAGCAGCAGCAAGCAAACACGGCCCTCCAGCTTGAACTCGAGAAGGAGAAAGAGGAAAGTATCCGGCAAAGAGATTCCACGGAACTCAGGTTAAGTGAGGAGAAGCGGGCAAACGTGGACCTACAGGAGAAGCTGGCGCACAGCCTGACAGAGGTGGAGACTCTACGGCTGAGGCTCAGCGAAGAGGAGCAAACAAAGCTTTCTATTCGGAACGAGCTCGAGTCGAAACTGAGGAGGAGCTGCATAGAAATCGAATCTCTGAGACACATGCTGAATGATGAGGAGCAGGCCAAGGCGACTCTTCAGATCAGTCTCGAGAAGGAGAAACAGGAGGCGCTTGCTCATGCTGAAGCTTTGCGCCTCAAGTTGGAACAGGAGGAGCAAGCGCGGTTGTCCCTTAATGTCGAACTCCAGGAGACAGTCGAACAGAGTGCCACGGAATTGAAGACTCTGGAACTTAGGCTAAGGGAGGAGGAGGCGGCGAACGCGTCGCTCCAGGTTAACCTCGAGCAAGCGAACCAGAAGGCCCTTGAGGAGGCGAGGCATCTGGAAAGCAAGCTGCAAGAGGCCCTTAATCAGGTAGAAGCTTTGCAGCTCAACTCGCGACAGGAGGAGCGAGCGAGAATGTCCCTCGAGAAGGAACTCCAGGAGAGACTCAAACAGAGTACCATGGAATTGAGGAGTCTGGAACTTAGGGTGAGGGAGGAGGAGGAGGTGAAGGCGTCGCTGCAGGTTGACCTCGAGCAAGTGAAACAGAAGGCCCTCGAGGAGGCAAAGCGACTGGAAAGCAAACTGCGGGAGGAGACGCAAGCGAACTTGACGCTTCAGACAGAGCTTCGAGAAAAGCTGAAAGCGAGTGTCGATGACGTCAAAGCACTTCAACTCCGGCTGAGAGAAGAGGAGCAAGCCAAGACGTCCCTGCTGGCTAAACTTGAGGAGCAGCTGCGGCAGAGGGTTGAAGAGATCGAGGCTCTGCAACTCAGATTGGGAGAGGAGGAACAAGCAAAGGCATCTCTTCAGATCGAACTCCTCCGGAAACTGAAGCAAAGTCATAGGGAGGTTGAGGGTCTACGATGCAGGCTGAGCGAGGAGGAGCAATCGAAAGCCTCTCTCCAGATTGACCTGGAGGAGAAGGAGAAGGAGATCGCCGAGGTTATCAAGGTTCTGGGACTAAGGGTGAGCGAGGAAGAGGAAGCGAGCTCCAGGTCCCTCCACGTCCACCTTCCGGGAAAGTTGAAGCAGACTCTTGACCTTCCGGGAAAGTTGAAGCAGACTCTTGTGGAGGTCGAGGCTCTGCGGCTCAGACTGAGCGAGGAGGAGCAAGCAAAGGCATCTCTCCAGATCGAATTGCAGCAGAAGCTCAAGCAGAGTCGAATGGAGGTGGAGGCTCTGCGCGGCCGGCTGAAAAAGGAGGAGAAATCCAAGCTATCCCTTCGGACGGACCTTAAAGACGAGAAAAAGAGGGCTCAAACAGAAATTGAGACCCTGCAACACAAGCTGAGGGAGGAGGAGCATGCAAAAGTGTCCATCCAGGTCGACCTCCACGAGAGGCTGGCACAAAGTGCCGCGGAGTGTGGGTCTCTAAGAGCGAAACTGCATGAGGAGGAGCGAGTCAAGATGTCCCTCCAGGTTGAGCTCCAGCAGAGGGAAAAAGAGAGTCGCATGGAGGCAGACACCCTGCTACACCGGCTGGCCGAGGAAAAGCAAGCCAAGGCGTCTTTGCGGATGGACCTTGAGGAGAAGCAAAAGGATTTTGCAGCAGCTGTCAATGATCTCCAGTCCAGGCTTGGCAAGGAAGAGCAAGCTAAGGCATCTCTCCAGATCGACCTTGAGCAAACCAGACAGAGGTGGCGCAAGGAGGTCGAGGGTCTGCAACAGAAACTGGGCGAGGAGCGTGATATGACTGAATCTCTTCAGAATATTCAGGCGGCACTTCAGGAGCGGCTGAAACAGAGTGTCGAGGAAGTGGAGGCTGTGCAGTGCAAGCTCGCTGAGGAGGAAAAGGCCAAGGTGCGTCTTCAGATTGACTTGGAGGAAACCAAGCAGAAGGGTGTCGGGGACATTGAGGCCATGCAAGCCAGGCTGCATGGGGAGGAGCAAGCAAACGCATCCCTGCGGATGGACCTGATCCAGAGTCGCACCGAAGTTGAGGCTTTGCAACGCAATTTGACAGAGGAAGAGCAAGTGAAAGCAGAACTGATGGAAGCCATTCAGATGCTGGGACTGAGGCTTTCTGACGAGGCAAAAGCAAAGGAATCTCTTGAGCACACCCTGCAGATGAGTCAGAAGCAGAGAGGGGACCTGCTAAGAGAACTCGATAGTTGGCGGGAGAAGTATCAGCGCTCAGCTGGAGACTTGGACGAGCGAGACAGAAGGGTAGCGCTCTTGGTGATAGCGATCTGGACGCAGGAACTATGTCGCCGCAGAATGCAAGGGGAGATGGAGATGTTGAACAATCAGCTGGGATCATTGCAGCAGGAACTCGGAGTTTGGAGAGGGAAGGGAACTCGTCTGGAGAAGGAGTTGTCCAAGAGTGAGAAAGCTATGATGGAAATGAAGAGTGCAATGGAGGATCGAGATGCCGCCCTCTCAAGAATGGATCAGACACTACAAGAACGTGACGCCACCAGGGTGGAGTTGGAGCAACAATTACGGACCCAGTTAGAAAACGTGGAGGAACTGAAAGACCGGCTCCGCAAGAGTGACGCAGCGGTTGCAGATATGGTGTCTGAAATACAGTCCTTAAGAGATACAATGGCAAGCCAGCATCTGTCGCTATCAGACAGGCTGACGCAGAGTCAGAGGGCAGTTGAGTCGCTGGAACTCAGACTAGCGGAGGAGGAACAAGAGAAAGTGTCGCTGCGGACAGACCTTGAGGAAAAGGAGAGGCAGCAGCAGATGCTTAGAGTTCAGCTGCACGAGGAAGGTGGGGAGAAGGCGCTACTGCAGATAAACCTTGAGGACCAGGAAAGGCAGAGGCAGGTTCTAAGAGCGAGGCTCGAGCGGGAGGAGCAAGACAAAGCATCACTGCAGGTGCAACTTGAGGAGAAGGAGCTGCAAACGGAGGCACTGCACACAAGACTTAGTGAAGAGGAAGGAGGGAAAGCATCAATGCAGAGAGACATTGAGGAGAGGGAGAGACAGGTGCAAGCCCTTCTAAGAGAGAGGCTCGAGCGGGCGGAGCAAGACAAAGCATCACTGCAGGTGCAACTTGAGGAGAAGGAGCTGCAAATGGAGGCACTGCACACAAGACTGGTGGAAGAGGAAGGAGGGAAAGTATCAATGCAGAGAGACATTGAGGAGACGGAGAGACAGGTGCAAGCCCTTAATGTTAAGTTGGATGAAGAAGGGAGAGAGAAAGTGTCATTGCTGCAGGACCTCGGGGAGAAGGAGAGGCAGAGGCTGGCTCTCCAAGCTAGGCTGTACCAGGAGGAGCAAGAGAAAGCATCGCTACGGACGGACCTCAAGGAGAAGGAGACGCAGATGGAAGCGCTGCACAGGAGGCTTGATGAAGAAAATAGAGTCGGAGCACTGCAAGTATTGCTTGAGGAGAAGGAGAGGGAGAGGCAGGCTCTTCAAATGAGGCTGGACAAGGAGGGTAAGGAGAGAGCAGCACGGATGATGGAACTTGAGGAGAAGGAGAGGGAGAGAGAGGCTCTCAAAGCGAGGCTGGATCAGGAGGAGAAAGAGAGGGCATCTCTCAAGGTGCAACTTGAAGAGAAAGAGCGGGAGAGGGAGGCGCTTGGAAAGAAGTTGGATCACGAGGAGAAAGAAAGAGCATCACTAATGCTGCAACTTAAGGTGAAGGAGAGGGAGAGGGAGGCTCTCCTCCGAATGAGGCTGGACCGGGAGGGGAAAGGGAGACCATCACAGATGATGGTGATGGAAACTGAAAAAGAGACGGAGAGTGAGACGGAGGCTCTCAGAGTGAGGCTGGATCAGGAGGAGAGAGAGAGGGAAGCACTGAAGGCGCAAAACAAGCAGAAGGACCTGGAGACAAAGACTCTCCAAACGAGGCTGGCTGAGGAGGAGAAAGAGAGAGAATCCTTGAAGCTGCAACTTGAGGAGAAGGAGAGGGAGAGGGAGTCTCTTCAAGTCAGGCTGACCAACGTCGGGAGAGAGAAAGATGTCCTCGAACGCAGTGTGGCAAGCAAGAATGAGGACGAAGACATTCTCCTTGGCAAGATCCGCAACTGGTGTGAGGCATTGACGCACTCATCCGAGGAACTGAGAGAACGGGCTGGGAGGCTCGCAAACCTGATTGCAGAAAAGAGAGAAGAGGAGGATGAGCGTGAACACAGGAGGACGGAAACCAAAGAAGAAGGGAGAGGATCTAACCAGAAGGCAGTGCAGGACACATCCCAGATGGCAGCAACAGCCTTTCAAAAAACAAAGGGACCAGAAGCTCTCAAGGAAGAAGCAATTCGCGATCATGGTGGCGAGGACGGACAGGAAGAAAGTCAAGAAGGTATCCTCTCAGGTGTGGTGGGGTCTTGTGTTTGTGAGCATGAGGATGCGGTCGCAGACATGGAGCACCGGTTGCAAGAGCACTGCACAGTTATCCGATTCCTCATGTTTCAGCTGAAGCGTCTGGATTCCGTGCGCCTTTCACAACCTCAGCAGCGGCAGCAAGCGGAATCGCAGAGTGTTGCTGTGCAGGGAGAGCAAACGGATACCCCTGCATCCCACCACCGCCGACAAGTGCCCCTCCCGATAATACCATCAACTACGACGAAGGGAGACGAGGCAGGAGAAACGGTGGAGTGGTCGATGATGGAAGCTTCTCTCATGTCAGATTCATCAGAGTTCCTTGAATCTGCTGGATCAAGGGATGGGAAACCGGATGATGTTTGTGAAGCTTCTCCGAGTCAAAGTCAAACTAAGGGTGTTGACTCGTTATTGCAACCACAAACGGATTTGAACATAAACGAACCCCGGGATCCTGGCGATCATGACGACTGCATCAGTCACGGTGAAGCCGATGATGATCATGATGGCAATGAAACTCATGGTGATGGGACTGGTTGTGCTGATGCATTGGTCCACGAGAAGCGGCGCTTGGACGCTGGAGGCCGGCGCGTGGCAATGGCGGAACACATTGGCTCCATCGAGAGTGAAATTGAGCAGCATGTTGGAGGCTTGGAGACCGCACTAAGAGACATGCGAGTGAGGTTAGGGGAAAAGTTTGCGGAGATGGAGTTGCTCTTTGGCCAGGAATGCTCGGAGCTGGAGGCGGCGGCAGAAGTGGTGGTTCATGAGATACTAATGGGACAAGGAAAGGAGGGGAACAGAAGCAACCGTAGGCGGAGCCTGATCCGGTTAATCGCTGCAAATGCAATGGAATCAAGGCTCCCTGGTGAAAAGAACCTTGAGGCTCAGGCAGCGGTGCCTGATGAGTCCGTTGTGCGGACAACAGGTCTTCTTAGCACAGAGCATCATCAAGGCAGCGATGGGCGGGAGGCTGCACCGACTTCTGCGCAAACCGATCAAAGAGTTGGAGAGGTTGACTGTATGAGAAGTCAGCAAGGAGTGCCAGAGCTCAAGGCGCCAAATGCCACACAAAATAGGTCCATGCCAGTGGAGATGCCTGCAGAGATGGGGGAGCAGGAAGTCACAAATGAAATGACAAGGATTGCGCAGTGGAGTCTGACAATGGAGGAGGTTGAGAGTCTGGAGGCTAGAGTTTTGCAGTGGTGGTTTGCGAGAAGTGAGAATGTAGTTATGAGAGCAGACCAGCAACTAGCAGCGTTAGAGTCGGAAGCAAGAGGATGGCTAGCTATCACAGAGTGCAGGCTAGGTGAGCTGGATTTGGCAGCAAAGGATGTCTTCGACCTTGCCAAAGCGGCAAGGCAACAAGAGGAGGCAGATCTCATGAAGTTGCTGCAAATGGAGATGCTGAAATGGACGGCAGTCCTCAGAAACATGCAACGCTTGTCAGAGGAAAGGGTGGTGACAATGGAAATGCAGCTTGAGCAGGAGCGGATAGCCAAGCAGCAGCAGATATCGTCCCTGGTGGACGAGCTGGAGGGATGGAAGAACAGAGCAATGGATGCGGAAAATGCGGCAGAAGCCAGGGCATGCAGGATTGCAGATTTGCAGCATAGGATAAGAATGTGGGATACGCTCCAAGGTGATGTAGCCGTGGACGGTCAAGAATATGTGCAAGATTTCAGTAAGCACCAAGGGGGCCTTGCTGCAATGGAAGCCGCAAGTTTAAATATAGACTCGTCTTCCGATGATGGCTCCACCATACCTGATGGCCCACCCACCAGCAGTAGTGCAGACAACCCTGCCCAGTTGGGCAGGGCAGAAACCCGACCGGGCATAGGGATGATTCATTCCGACGATGCTGAGAATGTTCCCTTCATTTATCATGGACGCAACACACGGCATAGTGGGAAGCATGAGGCAGACAAGGAGGAGCTGGAGGAGGGCCACTCACAAGTTCCGCCTCGCCCACAAAACACAGAGGTACTGGAGTCGCATGATATTGCAGCACGCGTACGGTTTGAGGACATGGTGACTGTGAGTGAAGGATCAGCAGATCATCGGGTCAGCACCGCAGTCTCTGTCCACCATGACTTCATAGCCGGTTCTCCTCCTGCTCCTCCTCCTCCTCCTCTTTCTTCTCCTCTTTCTCCAATCATCGATCCTTATTGCCATGATAGTTGGGAGACATGTTCGAGGAATGAATTTGCTATCCTGATCCCAATGCCTAGCAGTGTGCCGGAGGTTGGTCCTTCGGACACAAGGGAAGATAGAGGGGAACTAAGGCTGCCTGTTCAGACAAAGGCGACTGAGCAGGAACAGCTAGTTTGCAGTCCATTGCCGTATATTCGATGTCAAAGCACTCCAATCGTGCAGTCATCACAACCTTCACAATCCCACCACATTGAGGGAAGTGCAACGCTGAGAACACCTCATGACATGAGGGACCTGCAGGAGAGTTGCCAACCTAGTGTTGCACCTGGTGTTAGTCAAAAGGCAAGGGCGCTCTCATGGGTGCGGGAGAAGGCCCTGCTGCAAGCGGAGATTGTACGACTGCGAAAGCATGTGAGAAGCCTGTACGGAGCTCTAGCAGCGGAGGAGCGTTGGAGAATTGCAGAGTGCGCACGGATGAAGGCGGCATGCCAACAAACCGTGCAGCGTATGGAAGCGGAGAGTGCAGCTTTGCACCGCAAGTGTCAGTCATTTGTGGACGACATCAAGAAGGTTGAGAAGAGGAACAAACTATTATCCAACAATCTCTGCAAATCGGAGAGAGAGGTTGACTTGCTCGGCGACGTAAATGATCATCTTTTCGACTTGTTAACAGTCATAGATGACGCGTTTCAATTCTTTGCCACGTGTATCAACCAGATGCCGGGGATGAAGGTCCTTGCCATGCGTGTGAGGGCAGCCGTACTTGAGTATGCGGCTCAGGACGATAGCGAGGATGTTCTCGATCTGCCGCAGATGACAAGGGCAGACGACTCTGAACCAGAGCAGAACTCCCATAATAGCATATAGCCCCTCACAGATGGGCGGCAACTGTGGGCGATAGATGATAATGCTGCTCACATCATCCATCCACAGTACCCTGCAGCCCCTTCACCAGTCAAGGCCCCATAGCACTCCACACAGGTGCGCAATGCCACCCACTTGTCCACACATTTACGGTTTCGGAAAACGTAGCTTATGTAACGGTGATCTAGTACATCAGATGAGTTTGTAAACTTCGACATCTTTGACCAATTGGCGACTGCCGTCGCCTGATTTTACTCTGTCCTCACTGCAACCCAAAGGATGTCCATATCATCCCTCTTTGCCCCCCCCCC